GCTATGTGGTGCTAAGGAACAAGACCTCTTCTTAAAACCTAACTTAGTCCAGGAAAATCTGTCTCAGCTAAACTGATTCTGGAGGTTTCAAAAAACGGAAGTCTGTACTTTTTCTTCTCTTTTTTTTTTGTACCAGAAAGGGAAAAGACAGTGAGAAATTAAGGAGACCAACTTAGTGTTATTGCTGGTATAAATTACCAAAAATCTTTATGGTTTCTAGGTGACACTAAACATGAAAATGTCTTCCTACACTTACTGCTATGTGATCCTGGGCTGATGAAGCTTGAAACCTATATGCAAAACTGAAGCAGAAAAATCTTGACTTGTTGCTGTGTCTTCCTTTTATGGAGAACATTGGTATTTTGAATGGACAATGGGAGATAGCCAAACAGGTTTAAATCTTTAACTTCGCAAGAATTAATCACATCAAACATAGAAACTGCAATTGTTTAAAAATATGGTGCTTGGAATAACTGGTTTTTAACTCCACTGTATAGATGAGCCAACATTTCTTATTTAAAGGGGAAAAAAAGGATTAATCAGTTTTAAGACTTGACATCGTATGAGCATCATTATACCATTCAGCATATTCCAGGCAAGAAATGTCACCCATCTTTTAGCATTGTCACTGAAGAAAGACACGCTTGTTTGAAAGACCTACAGGCATCAGAAAATTTTCACAGTAAATAGCCGATTGTCCTTGTTTTAAAATGTTCGAACTGTGTTGCCATTCTGTCTTAAGTTTCGCTTCCTTCACATTCCAATAATTTTGTCTGGTTAAGCCTGTATTTGCAGGTTAGACCTTATGGAAGTCTTAACTCTCTCTGATAAACTTCAATAGATTTTGTCAGTCCCACATTCAGGACTTTATTCCTCTCTAGAGAAGTGCTAAAGCATAAGCTTAACTTAAAATTTAGTTTGAAATTGGTAGAAATTGAGCCAGTTTCTGTGCAGTCATTTATTAACAATGTAATTTGCAGTATTGCCTTGCTCAGGATGTTTTCATATTGTGCATTTTCTAGACTCTGAGAATGTTTTTAGAGCTCCTGCTGGACCTACCTTAATAGCCACAGTAAACTCTGTGCTATCTGATTAATAGTGTTAGCTACTCTTTCCAGAGCCCACCTCTCCTTCTAACCAGCGCACTACTGGTGCGTTGCAAATTACTGGACCATCACAGATGCTAATGCACTGCTAGCATCTCCAAAATGCACCTGCTTATCCTCTACCCACAGCAGGCCGCCCCAAGAACTCTTTCTGATCCCGCTTTTGCAGAGAACATCTTCGTCTCAGCCTTGTCCAGCCACCTATGTGCCTTTAGTGGTGCTCTGGTGAGGTGATCGGAGAGCCCCGTGAAGTCCAGGGCTGCTTGCATCCAATGGCTGTGCAATTTGGTTTTCCTTCTAACAATTTGGTGCTTTCCGTATGCTTCAGGTTACAGGTTATCCTGTGTCATGTATTAGGCAGTCCTCATGTATTCCTCACCTGGCTACCTTCACGCACTGGGCAGGCACTCTGGCTGCAGTCCTTATCATGCCAGGCACAGCTCATACTACATTTTTGCCTGCTGTATTTGGACTTTTCCATCTGCTCGTTCTCACCATGCAGTGGTTTTTCCAGGGCTGCTCTGTCAGACCACAGGTATCCTGCACTCAGCTGCCTCTTTCAGTCTCTCCTTCAAGAACCCTGTCACTCTCTCTAAGTTGTAGGCAGCAAAACCACACTTACAAATTCTAGTTCCTTTTCCAAAACTGTGTGTGCCCACACCTAGCTATCAGTTTCATCACCATTAGATCTCATCTTGACAGCTAGGCTTCCTGTTTTTCAAGCTCAAAAGAGCATTGCCTTAGCCTTTTATAGTAGTATTTGCCTTCTGTCTTCATGGCTTGGCTTATTTTGTAAACTGGATGCAGTTTTTCCAGTAGTGGTCACATCAGGCCTGCAGACACAGGTGAAATTCTATTTTCATTGCCATTGTAGTGAAGAAATATACATCCTTTTGTCCTCAAAATACTGCTACTTAGTTCTATTAATCTCTCACATCATTTTCAAAATCATTTTTTGAAGACTGCAAGTAGCCTTATATTTGAGTATAGTCTTTGCTTCTAGATATATAACCTTGCTTTTGGCTACATTAAGTGTATCAACCGAAGTTTAGTAAAGTGTAACAAAGACTAGGAACACGTCAGCTCTCTCATTGCTTGGATCTTCCGTGTAATTAATAGTCGCCTCTTGTCTGAAATCTTGTAGGTAGAATTACAATTTTACATGGAAGTATTTTGCTCCTTGCTGACTGTTTGGCTTGCTGAAGGTACCATGTCTAATCAGTTTCATTTGTTTAATATAATTGGAAGATTTAAAGGCAAAATAGGAGTAACTCTGAGGATATTAAAAAAGCCATCAACAATTTACTGGTATTATATTGATGGAAATTTGCGCTATTTTTTCTACCTCATCACTTCCAGAACTTGAATAGCTAACCCAAAAAATTCTTTTGCATATAAAAGAAAGTTCTTGGTGTCGTTTACTTTTTTTTTCCCCAGCTGTGATTATCCTGAGAACACTTTGAAAGTATATCTTACAAATATGAAGGACTGCTTGCATAATCTAGTATCAGTTCTGAATTTAATGCAAATTCAGATGAAAAGCAAGCAACACTGAAAGTGCTGCAAACTTCTATTACAAATATTTTGGTCCAAAAATTAACTACTATTTCAAAGCATAAATTTGTTATGAAAATGCATGTGTGATTGCAAGAATCTCAGTATCTCATGCCCTGACCACAAGTAATGTTAACTAGGAAGGCAATGCCTTTTCAAGTACAAGAGAGGAAATAAATGCTATACAACTTAATTGTAACTGACAAGTGTAAAAAATGGGATAAGATGCAGAGAAAGGAGATTACAGTGACCAAAGAACTGAATTAAGTGAGATTCTATGGTTCACTTACCAGGTTTTCAAATTTTAATCAGCAATGACTTGATTATGGTATGTAAGTGTCCTTGCATGTAGTAACTGTTGGGGCAGAGCTTGTTTATCTAACAAGATAAGCAGCAGCAGACACCAGCAGCTGGCAAATAAGGCCAGAGGAAATACAAACCAAACATAAGGGATACCTTCCTCTTCAAGGAAGGTTGGTTGGCAGCTGGACCAAACTATTGAGGGAGCTGAAGCATCCTCATTCTTCCATGTGGAAGACAGACACTAAACACAAGCGATAGATTTTAGTGCAGCAGGAACTGGATAAAATTCAACAGACTACAGAAAAAAACGAAGTAATTGTTTCCTACCAACGTTAGAGCCTGCACGTTGCAAAAGACAAGAGACTATGTGCAAAGAGGTTAGTTAAGAAAACTTTGGGAAGTAGTGGGAATGATTTTGGGTGGCTTAAGTAATGCTGATCTATAATAGTAGAAATTTTGCCCTTTTCACATCTGTTCAGGTGACCCTCTCCAACTATCTTCTTCTTTCACACTGAGCTATAACCCTCCTCTGTGAACCTCCTGATGCACAAAGGTATCGATATAAGTATTTTGGTATAACATTGCTACATGATCTTTATTATAAACACAGTTGAGGACATTTTTTTACATCAGATAAGGAGTCATCAGCATGAAGTATTTTACTGTCATTTCTGGTTTTAAAGTCTATGACTACAACTGAAATATTTCAGAGGATGAATAGTCACAGAAAATGCCAAGGTCATGCACCAAAAGCATTACATCAGAGAAGAGATATTGGTAAAGGTCTTCCTTCAAAAATACACCTAACCATGTACCTAGTTTGGAGGGTACAAGTTTTAAACATCATGGAAAAGTTTTTTCTCTTTTTTTTGCTTCTCCTCTTCAAAACCAAACAAATCATTACTGTGATTTTTTTTTGGTGTTCAAAACAAAGGTCCGTTAAGTAGAAAAGTGACAGATAGGCCTTTGAAAAGTACCACCTGCCCTAGTAAGTAATTGCGAGGATATCCTGTAATTTTACTATTCTAAATAAATATTCCATGACATGGAGAAAAAGTGAACTTGTATCACAAGTCCTGGTCAGGACATCAGGTAAGAAAAGAAAGCCCACAAGGCACACTTTCTGGGTCTGCCACAGCCAAGTGGGATGTGTCTGAAGAAGCAGCGGCGTGTCTGGGGCAGACTTCTCCGTCTGAGCTACTCACGCCAGCCTGCCATTAAAGTCATCGTAGAGGAACAGACACTTGCAGGACATGAGTCACACAAATGCCGTACTGCGAGTGTCTAAGGCTGAATGAGACATGGTTTGTCCAGTAAGAGTATAGGCGTTTCACTGAACCCCTCTGTGCCACATTTTCCCCCAGTTTAAAATAAGACAAACGCTTACTTTCTTCTCCCTTATGTCTGTTGAGCCTGCAGGCACACCTGCTAGAAGAATTGTTGCTGGCTGCATATCTGTGCAGCACAGTATGGATGGGACCCTGCACCTCAGACAAGTCTTTGGAGAGAAATACGTAAGAACTTCATTAAGTAGAAGAATGTTTATAAAACAGAAACCAAATATATACTGGAATGCCCTTAACTTCCACAAAAGTCAGCTCAAACCATTACATGTAGCAGGAGTGAGACCTAGAAAAGACTGCATTGTGTCAAGATACACGAAACAGCCCAGCAAAACGTCATATTGTTGCTTTTTATTTGTTAAAAATAACTGCTTTCAAATACCAATAATTTGTTTTGGTAGGAATTACAATGTGAAAATCCTAACAGCATCCTCTGTAAATATATATATATTTTTTAAAGTACAGCATCTCATAACCATAATATTTTTTTACCTGAGGGGTTTATGATGGGAGTTGAAATCACTTATATCACACCTGGAAACTGTTATAAATAACATATCATGACTAAGCTGTTCAACTGTGATGGTTCCAAAACCTTCAATACATTAAGATGTGTTTTCTCCACTGAGTCCATAGTTCTCTTTGGCAAAGGCAAAAAGATTTTGCATTTTAGAATATTTTAGAAAATTACTGTTCAGTCTTCCATTTCTACATGCAGTCCCCATTGTTCCTTGAATTGCAGGAGGTACATTTCTTGGTCCTCTGGTGATTCATCAGATACCTCTTTCTCATACAGTCTGGACAAAATTCCCTCTTTGTCAGGATCATCATACTTGAATACTCCTTCACACACCTGATTTTCAACACTGGACAAGGTAGGAATATACAGTCTTCCAGTGTGAGGATCCCAGTCTACTAATATGGTCTGTTCACTCTCTTTCTCCGTGAGGCCCTGTGCTATTTTTTCCAGCTGAGGATAAGATGTCTGCCCAGATTTTTCAGTATCCAAGTCCACCAAGTTGATATGGGTCTCACCCGGCAATTCATCTGCTGCATCAACCATCTTCAGATTAAGTTCCTCTATTTTCTGTCCCAAACAAGGGTCTGCTGCCCTCACCTCTAGTTGGGGGCAATACGGCTGTCCTGTTTCCATGTTAACCAAGTGCCCCAAAGCAATCTGTGGCTCACCTAGTAGTCCTCCAGGGGCAGAGGTCTTCTCTTTCAAACTGAGTTCTTCTAGTTTCTGACCAGGACTGAAATCTTCAGCCCTTACATCATGTTCATACTCTACAGTCCCTGCATTTTTCTGTCTCAAAGTATTCTTTGTTCCAGTCTGGCCATAAGATGACCAGTTCCCAGTTTGGTCCCCTTCTGCTAAAATATCCTCTTTGCGTGAAATCTCTTCGTGTGAAATATCAAGCAAGTGTTTTGTTTCCAGGACTTTTGAAGGCAAATCCTTACCTTCAGTGCCATTGTAAACAGTATAATAACAGGGACTTCTCCCTTCTGATAGATGATTGGATTCCTGAGATGGCTTGTACTCATCCACATTAACAGAGATAAGGTTGACCATTATTTTTTCACATGGTATGAAAACCCTTTCCTTGCATTTGTCAGTGTAGCGCCATACCTGGAAAGCAAAAAATATTTTGATTTGAGTGAAATATAATAAAAATACCATCTTGCTTGCTTGCACACAGTATGAGAAACAAACAGGATGAACTCAAGTGTTGGTCAGCTCCCAGAGCTATCATGTCATTGGTATTAGTGAGTCTTGGTGGAATGAGTCCCAAGATTGGAGTGATGGGATGGAGGGCTACAGGCCGTTCAGGAGTGATAGGCAGGGCAGGTGAGGTGAGGGTGTCACACTGTACACAAGGGAGAGGTTTGATTGTACAGCCCTTACAGTTAGTGATGCTGTGGCGGAGAGCCTCTGGGTAAGGATTAGGGGGAATGGAAAACAAAGGAGATGTTGTAGCGGGTGTCTACTACCAATCACCCAGCCAGGATGTAAGCACTGATGAGTTATTCTGTAAGCAATTAGAAGAAATTTCAGGATCAGTATCCCTTGTCCTTATGGGAGATTTCAACTTCCCAGACATCAGCTGGGAATATCATACTGCTGTGATAAGCAGGTTTTGGAATACTTGAAGTTTGTAGGAGATAACTTCTTGTCACAGGTACTCAGTGAGCCAACTAGGAAAGATGCCCTCCTAGACTTGCTATTTGTGAATAGAGAAGGACTCGGGGGATGTGATGGCAGGTGGCTGTCTTGGTCACAGTGATCATGAAATGGTTGAGTTTAAAATTTTCAGTGTATTGAGAGAAAAGGACAGCAGAGTTGCCACCCTGGACTTCAGGAGAGCAAACTTTAAGCTACTCAGGGAGCTACTTAGCAGTG